TGTGTTGGAGTATTTAAGTGTTGAAGTTCACATCCTGTCTGGGTGGCGACTGTGTTTTTTCACCTGAGCTGCTGTGAATGTTGCAAAAGCCCCGAAACTGATAATGCAGGTCTCAGTGTTCAGAAGCCTTTTTCTCAGTGCTGGATGATTTCTGTCACCAGAGTTATTTCTTATATTAAAAGGACATTGGTTTTAATTCATGCACCTTTCCTTTATCTGGAGAGCCTCACACAGGCTCTTACTGAACTGCATCTTTGTGTATAAATGAAAGTAGATCACCTTTGATTGCAGCATCGCAGTGATTTTCCTCATTTAGTAAATCTATTCCATATCGTAACAAATCAAATCTCTTATTTTCTTATGTTTTCCTGTCGTGATCCAGTGTGACATCATATATATTTATATATATACATAATATGTTTATATGACAGTAAATACATTTTATGTTGGTTTATTTTGTTGTTTAGTCTGTGTGTGACATTCATTATAGCAGTTAGCACTAAGTCACTTTGAATGTTTGGTGTAAATGAACCGCAGGTCACACTTGTCATGTACTGTTGGATGGAGGCAGTGAGCAACACACAGGAGCTGCTGATCTCTGAATGTCTGACTTATAAAATCTATCATTTAATAAAAATAAACAGTTTTGAGTAAACTGTGATCAAGAGAGCTTTACAGAGAAAAACAAAGTACTTGTAAATAACTGGATTAATAGGGAAACTGTGCTGATGAAATCTAATGGAAGGACAGTTACATACACTAAATGAAACAGGAAGTGTAATCATATGTGACTGAATGTTCACATGTGATGGAGTTTTCACTTTTACAAGAAAGAAGAAAATGTGATTTTAAAGTTTAAATCCTGTATTAAATCATGAATGTGGAAAACATTAGTTAGATAGAGACGATCAGATCGAGTGATTTGATGTTAATGTTGTCTCAGAAGACCTGACGTCCAGTAGGAAAGGAGGGAAGAAGGGTGAGCAGGTTAAAAATGAGGTGAGAGAGCTGAACCTGTGTGGGGGTCGTGGGGGTCGTGGGCTGCAGATCAAAACTATTGAGGTGTCTTATAATACCACCGCTGGCAGAGGTGCAGGGCTTGTGTGTAAACCAACTCACACAAAAGGTCATATACGTGGTCTTATGGTCTGGACATTTGCATCACGGACATTGAGGATTCTGAGATTTCAGATCACTTCCCAGTTTTGTTTAATACTGCAGTGAGTAATGTGGACTTGAACAGTGATGGTCCTGTGTGGCAAACGATTAACTCCCAGTCAATCGCTCCCTTCACTGATGCTTTCCGTGACTCTCCCCTCTCTGATGCTAGCTGTAACGGGGGTTTATCAGCGGAC